CTCTAACTAGAAGAGGTCTGTAATTTGCTGACCAAAGGAAAGCAAGAAAAGCTGCTACTGCCAATATGCCAGGGCACAGCAAAGTTAGTAACTTATGTATTAAATCAAAATAATGCTAACTTCTTTATAAAAGCTAAAAGAAATTGTCCCTGGACCCTTAGGATTTCTAATAAAAAGATATTCTTCTAAAAACATTTCTAGGATAAAATAATACTACTATTTGATCTTCCTCTTAGTAGTGATTTATCACAAGCTAACCTGAATAAAATTTTCATCAAAAGTTAGCTCAAATTTTCTTCCACAGTCATTTTCACTTCTTAAAGCTGACATCTGTAATAAAGAAAAGTATTTCAAAGAGGTCTGTCTGCTATGGGGCTTAAAGGAAATAGAGACACTGACTTTCCAGACAACAAAGTACCAGGCTATTGTCGCATTTATCTTGGGGGAGTTCTGATCTTATGATAAGCATCTCCAATATTCATTTTACAAAATAAATATTCTACATTCTTACTAGTGGAGCCACACAGAGAAAGAATGTCTTTCTTCTTTTTTCTTGTTCCTTTTGATGCTATTAGGTGGTCAGGAAGGAAAAAAAGAGGAATCTCTCAGACATCACATGTGGAGTGTCCAACAGACCCCTTCAGTAGTGATGCTTCTTGTTCCTAAACCAAGTAAAAGTCAGATGTGCATAAGAAAGTAATACATAAAAGGTATTCAAAGTCAAAAGAACGTGGATATTTAAATAAAAATTTCATGTGTTCAATTTTAAGATAATTCTTTTCCCTTCCCACTTGGTTATTTGATACTCACACCATATGATATTTCCTCTAAGCCATGAGCTTTGCCATTATTTCCACCATAGCCTACTAATGATGACATCTTCAACACTCAGCCTAACCTTTTTTGGTCTTAAATCAAAACCTTGGAAAAGAAAGTTGTTAGGTAAGGGGATATCAGAATAATGGTGAAGCCACAGCTCACCTAAATACTCCAGAGACTTTGAGGAAACTTTAAACTCTAAAAGTCCATGATTTGAAAAGTTCAAAATATTGTACAATGTGCTATCTGATATATATTGAGCTAGCTAAAGTTCACTTAGGACCTGGTGATATTTCCATATCTGGTATTTATCAGTTTATAGCTAGAGAAATGTAAAAATTGTGTGAAATGAGTTTATCTCTCAAACATATTCTTCAAGTGATGACCTAACATAGGTGAGGATCTTGAAGCAGTGCCACCACCCCAGGGTTCAGGCAGGACTCTTTGCTTGGAGTGTGCTTGGGGCTTCACACCTATGTCTCTGCCTTACTGTTTTCTGTGTAACTCAGAGCAATCTGTCTCAGAGTATTGCTTCCTTAATCTGTGCATTAAGCATTTGGAATTGTTCTGAGAAATGAGACTATGTCTTAATTGTTTGTTGTACTGATACATAGTAGTTCCCCTATGCATCACGGCTACTTTGGAGATCACACACTTAGCTAGACTTGCAGTACAAATAAATGCTAAATGGAAATTATGAGGGAGCTAAATTTTTCCATCTGGCAGATGAGAGTGTCAAGGGGCAAGGGGAAGGAGACAATGTAACTGTTTCTAAAATATGATGGGAAAATGGAGGCTGAACCTCTTTTTGAATGTTATTCCTGTTGATGACTTGAGACAGAGCATAGCTGTCGGGACAGATAATATTAGCAGGCCATGGAACACACCATTTCTAGCTGAACTGATGGAGTCTGATAAGTCGTCACTACTGAGCGTGGATTGCTTTTAATTTTATTTAAAAATAAACAAGTGAAATTTCTATTATATTATGTAGCAATGATGATGATGATGATGATGATGATGATGATGATGGAGTTATTGCGGCTTTCATACATTGCTCCTTGGTCAGACTCATTTCTCACACTTGTGTAAATTATGTGCTTGCCTTTGTACCGGGAAACAATGCTAAAACCAGGAGGACTCAAAGGAGATGAGAAATGGAAGCTAGACTTCTGCATTACATGGGCTTTTAAGATTTCTCAAACACTTCTTTTCTACTTACATTAGAGAAAATATCTCTGCCGGCTTCACAGACAAGGGGATGACACACTAGAGTGCACTATGAACGTCTTTAATGACTGATGGGTGGGGGCAGGTGTCATTATTGCCTAGCTACAAGCTAAGGGACACAACTAGGTGCATTCTGAATCTGGAAGAAAACTCTTTTATCAGATCTGACTGCCTAGACTTACTACCTACACATTTTCTTCCATAAGTTAGATATAGCATCTCTCTTCTTACAGAGTACTTTATGTTAAAAGTGAAAGTTTAAAACTTCTAAAGGCTTTGTTTTTATATGAACAGTATACTTAACAGTTGCTTAAAAGAGTTCAAGTCTTTTAATGGTTTGTAAGTGTGGTCAGTAAGATAATATATAAAGATAATTAATTCCAAACAATGTTAACTCTGTAAAGGCACAAGAGAAGCAAAACCAAAATACTTAAAAGTTCAGAGGAGAAAGAGAGTCCCATGTTCTGGAGGATAAAAAGATACCAGGAACACCAGGTCTTCTAAGGGCAATGATTGCTGAAATGCATAATTCTTTGGGGCAAGTAATAGGTTATGTTTGACCTGAGAAGAGAGGAAAAGCAAGTGAATCTATTCTGAGGCAGATCTGGCTTACTAATATGAAAAGCTGAAAAAAATCGTAACACATGCATAGTTAGGTTCATGCTAGAAAACATAGAATAAATAAGTGTATCACTTGAAATCTCAGAAGAAGATGGCAACAGAAGTTGGAACTCAAGACTTCTGACTGCAGTCTTGGCTTACTGTTTCACAAAAGTGCAATGTTTCTGTATGGGAAAAAGAGAGTGCCTGGGGAGTTGCTGGTTTGTTCTTGATGGAAAACAATGTTTCTGATATTTATATGTAATAAACAAGAATATACTGGCTGACAATATTTTTTTCTGAAAATAGTATGAATCTTAATGAAACAGTGATGTTGGTAATTTAGTACAATTACATAAGACAGACTACAGCATTTTAGAGCCTCAAATTTCACTGTCTTAGAGGCGTTAAAAAAAAAAAAAAGGTCTAAGGTCTATCTCTTCTCACTCGGGACACAAATCAAAACCAAAGAAGAAGTGAAACAATTCTGTGTTGTGTGTGATGAAACAGAATGTAGAATTTACCACATAGAACAAAGTCTTTATGGTTATCCTAGCAGAAATAAGTTTATGTAATTAGAAATGTGCTAGTGAATGCATGCAACTAGAGTGGATGAAGGATTCCAACCTGGAAAAACAGTTCTGTGTTCCCATGGTGGATTGTGCATCTGAAGGCAATTCAAATTTTCAACCACTTTCAAAGAATTTCAGCCATGTCAGACTGGCTTGATTTCCCATTAAAATATTCATGTAAATTATGCTTTAACTTGCACATGCTAGAAGTATGGCAGGAAATGCTGAGTCAAATGAAGCAACTGTTGCTTCATTAAAGTCATGGAAAAGGTACATCTAAGAAAGGAGCACCAAGAAAGAGCAATCTCAGTTAAAATCCAACTTGTAACACTCACCCCTAGAAGGAAACTGATACTTCACAAAATAACTCCTGGAGTGAACCCTTTTTCCATGATTTTTGCTACTTTCATCATTTTTAAACATCTCTTGGTAGCATATATATTTGTGTCAAATCAAATGCAATCAGCTACTCAGAGAACTGGGTAGTAATTTGTCTTTTTCTTTCTGTCAAAGAATCTTACGTCAAAATCTAACATGAGTACATGCTCAGTTATGAACAGTTAGTGGATTAGAATACATGTTTGATTTGTGTGTTCTCTGTACTTGGAACCACAGGATGACTGAGAGTAACTTTAGGGTCTCAACATTTTCACACAAGCTGAGCACTGGGCACTTACTGCTTCTCCAATCCTTAGGTTGATGGAAAGAGATGCCATGTAACATGCACAGACTAACCCGCCAGAGCAGCAAGTCAGAGTCAGCACCAAAGAAAGCCGACAAATAAGCAGAAATGATGGTCTTGTCTTTCAGCAGACCATTCTAAAGCCTCATGTGCCTGTTCTGCAGCAGCTCTTTGAGTGCATCTGTTTCTGTCATTGCAATTGAGGAGCCAGCCTGGTTTAGCTGAAATAGTACCATTTAAATTCTCACCCCTTTTCCATTCCAATTCCATATAACCATTCTCCAACTAAATAAAGAAAGAAGAGTGTTTTTGTACCTCATCACTTTTTTGTTACTACTATTAGTTGCTGATATGTTGTTAAGGCTAGAAATTGACTGGTTATAAAAAGGAAGATTTTTTTTATTATAGTGGTACAATTTAATCCCCTCCCCACCACATGCAACTAGTTTCAGAGCTCATTCAGTTCCTTTCATTGATAGTTCTTCCCCACACTTGAGAGACAAAAGCTTGAGAAAGGTCAGTCATACTCTGAAAGTAATCACCAAGAGAAGGTGGCCTCCAACACGGTCCTCAGCACTGAACAGCTCAGTGCTCATAAGCTTTGGATTTCTCCTGCACTTTTACACTACCACACTAGTGAAATAGGGAGTGTGCTCTCAGGGAGAAGGGTGGAAACAACAAAATGATCACATGAAGTGACACTCATGACATTTCTTAAGGGAAAAGTGCTTGGATTTGTTTGCTGTCAGAGTTCCCAGCCGTGGGATGGCATTGTTTAAAAACAAGACCACCAGATTCTTGGGACTGAAATGTTTTGTATGTGTTGTTGTTTGCAGTGCATGCCAAGACATTCATGAGCACCAGAGCCAAGCTGGCGAGCTAATTAAATATATATATATGTGTATGTTTAAACAGCCTAATAAGGAGCATTGGAAATCTTCAAGATGAGCGAATATCTTATAACTTCTTCCGCAGGTGCGAGGATAGCTACAAGCCATGGACTTTCTGTCCTGCTTCTTGTTTGTGGCTTTGTGAAGGGTGCTTTGCTTTAATCTAAAGTGCTGACTTTTTTCCAATATCACTTTCTCTTCTTAAAGCAAAGAGCAAATCGCCTGTAAAATCTACGGAGCGGACAGCAAAGTTGACCCTAAACTCCAAGCACCATTCTGCACCCCTGTACTCTAGTTACCTACACAAGGAGCATCAGCTTCCGGAAGCATAAGTGAAGAGGCTATCACACACGCTTTATTGATAGTATTTTCTTTGGGATATCGCTGATCTTTTATTTGAAGAGAATTAATGTGAAGCGATAGGACATTTTCTAATAACAAGATCTATTTTTTTCTTTTCTTTCAACAAAAAAATTTGCATTTCACTGACTGCTCAGGAATTGGCCTGAAAGTCATCAGTGTAGTAAATATTTCCATGGATTCCACCAATTTCCTACCAAGGGACACCTAATCTAAAAGAAGCAAACAAGGATGAAAAACATAAGAAATGCAAACTATCTTCAAACAGCACCCCAGCTGGGGGGAAAAAAAAAAGAAAGAAAGAAAAAAATTCTGGACACTGGAAATCAACAACAGGCAACTTTATTTTACATAAGGAAGAATCAAAGCAAGTTTTGTTTTTTTTTTTTTAATTTCTCCCCGCCCCCTGCAGACCGTGGAATTTTTCTTGGAGTTTCCCTTCTTTTCCTTGATTGCCGTTCTTGTTCCATGGTAGCAAGTGCCAATTATGGCCAATCCTAGTCAATCCTGGGAGGTTTATATTCATACATATTGAGTGTGATATATTTCAATGTATTTTAATTCATTTTGCAATTTCTGTATATGCAAATCTGGCAAATTCTGTAAATTGCTTACAGTATGTGTGATATGACTTCAAGGTAGATAGATATGACACTCATGCAAGCTGACTTTCTTCATTCTATATACAAATATATACATGAGCATATATTAGGCCACCTACTTCTTTTCCTAAAGCACTATTTTTCATTTGAATCTCATGTATCGTGTGAATTTTGTAGTGTGTTTCTCTGTTCAACTGGTTTGACAGCTACGGTTTGTCTCTGTTGTCCTCTGCTTCCTCCTGGAAAATGCAAATTGTATATGTCTCTGATAAATGAATTAATTTTGCTGTGTGTATTCCATGTTGGAATTTGCTGAGTTCTTTTATATGTGTGTTTATTGAGGTTTGGGGATCTCAAGTCTGAAGAATGCACATCCTGGTTTTGACAGATCTCCTCCTGTTATCAATATTCTATCTCAGAAAAAGAAGAAGGCCAAGTGGAAAAGCTGAAGAACACATTTTGACTCCTCAGGTTCCTGGAAGAGCACTTCACACTCAAACTAAATAACATTGCTTCCTTTGTTCTTCAAGAATATTTGTAGCTTTGTCATTCTGTTATTTGCTGCTAATTATATTTTAATGTCTACTAATTAAAATTTAAAATGTGATTGTTGGCTGGATACAATATGCAAATGACTGCAAAGCCCATACTGAAGAAGATAGGTTTTCAATCTTCAATCATTAATTATAATTTTAAATATTCCATTGTTATTTTTGACTTTATGATATTTTGCTTAGACCTGTTCTAAATAAATCTTTCTCTGATAAAGAAAGTTAGAAAAATTAATACATTCTCTCTTAGAAAATAAATACTTATGATTTGAGAAAGACGACATCCAGTTAGTCTTCCAAAGAGATTATTTTATTTACTTCCATTATAAATTCAGAACACCATCTATTTATGAATGAACCATTCCCAGCTGAAGGTCCTAAATTGAAGCTTGAAGGCCATGAATATCTTTGATTTTTAAGGTAAAGGGCTGGACTCTGTCATTCACTTAGAAGCAATGTGCAAACTTTCATAACATTTTAAACATTCTCTTTTAAGAAATACTGTTTTATGCTAAATCTCTCCTTGCCATTTTTTCTTGTTTCATTTGATTCATTATTTCATTCTAATGAGAAAAATAAAGGTTTAATTGTGCTACTTTATTAACATACAAATGTATTTTCTTTCAAAGTTAAATTTGTGAAAGCTGTATAAAATGATGATAGGTAATGCCTGTTAAGCTTCTTTGATCTTTAAGAATTCCATACGTTAAGGCATATATTTATATACTGATTTAAAGTCAACAGAGCTGGGGAAAACCATCATGTGTTATATTTCTACTCAATGTCCAGTTAATGATATCAGCCAGTTCTATAGTAAGCCAAACTTGTACCCATATCAGTAATGTTCATCATGCTTGTAATAAAAGAGCACTTGCTAGTTTGGGAAGAATGCTCACTAGATTCATTGTATCAGTGTCCAAAACAATAAAGACCTACTTACCACTGTGTGACCAAAGTCTGGCCCACCCTGAACTTTGAAAAAGAATATGCCATACTACTGTTTGTTCCAAACTCACAAAGAGTATGGAACTTTAAACATTGAACATTAGAGCAGAAAATAAAGGTATTGATGAGACCTTCTAAACATTTGCACACTATATTATATTCTTTTGGGACTACATTTTTCTATGTAGCTATGACTATGGAAGTGAATAGAAATGCAAAAGTAAAGTATCTGGCTTTCTCAATCTTGTTTCCAAGGTTATATAGTATCTTTTATAAGATAGAGTTATAATAAGCTGAAATTACTTAAGTGAGTTTAAGTTAGATACTTTATTTCTTAAAGGACTTAACTTAAAGACAGTTAACAAAGCAAAGGAAGCAAGTGAAAATACTCCTGAACAAAATAAGATAATAGAATTCTCTAAAACAGAAGCTATAATCTGAATTAGTAAATAAGCTTCATGGAATCTAAGAACCAGCCCCATTTACAGTCAGCCCTCCATGTCCTTAAGCAGTGCACTGTAGCAACTATCTGTGTGGTGTTTGTGCTGTATGAGGCATAGCAATTGGAGATGATTTAACACTCAGGAGCCTGTGTATATCATGTTCAAATGTCATGCCATTTTATCTAAAAGACTTGAGTACCCACACATTCTGATAGCCAATGACTGTCTTGTATAACCATCTATCAGCAGATGCTAGGGGGGGAGAGCTATACACATATGGTTTTGCTGATATTCATTTTATGGAGACAGTCCTTGGCATGCATTACTTCTGAAAAGTAGTTTAATCATGGTTTCCTCTCTGAGAAAGAAATATATAAATGATTTTGAGAATCTAAAGTTCTTAGAAACAAAAATGTGTTCAGATAAATATATTAGTATACACACATACACACATATTTGGCAAATAAAACATATATTTTTAAGCCTAGAAAATTTTTTAAATTTATTATGCATGGAATGGAATAATAGATATAGAGTAACATTTATTGACTTTTTACAACAGATGTTAATAATAATAATAATAATAATAATAATAATAATAAAAAGGAATGGTGGCATTTTGCTGTAACTACAGGACTCAGGAGGTTGGAATAGGAAAATCAGGAGTTCAAGTCCAACCTGTCTGCATAGTGAAAACCTGAATCATTAAAAAATAAAATAAAATATGCTAATTTAATATTGAAAAAACCCACACAGATATTATTCCTATATTAATCCTATATAGGAAATAAAATATTAACATTAGTGTTAATCTGTATAAAAATAATCACAAAAGATAAAAGCAATCTGTCTTGAGATAATACATAAACTGATTATTGTTTCTTAGAATTAAGACTGTGAAGCTAAAACTCATGAGTGCTTCAAGTTTCAAGTATTTATACCAAGCTATTTTATTTTTAGAATTGCTCATTAGTAAAGGGAGCTCTCTGTCATTAAGGAAATGTCAGCCACGAAGTAGATAAAGTCTTTCACTGTATGTAGTGAGAGACAAGAGAAAAGCACTCAGAAGCAATAAAATGTGCAATGCCAATAAATTCTGTGAAGTCCCAATAGAAGAAGGTAAAGAAGAGTGACGTGGAAGTCACATGAGGTTGCTCTGGGGATGCAGTCATGCAATTTAAATGATAAAAAGCAGGAGATTTGGGAGATGTGTCTTCAGTAACAGGGAACAGCCCATGCCAATCTCAGAGCAAACATCAGGTAGAGTTGTTCAAGGGCTGGTCTGTGAACATGGGCATACAGAAAAAGAGAGCCAGGAGAGGGACCTGAGAGAGAGCCTGAAGTAGGATTACTCAGGGATCTTTAGAGGGCACTGAGCCCAGGGAGCAAAGCAGAGTCAGAGCTTGTAAAGATCCCACTTAAGTTTATTCTGCTCTCAAGAGACAGGGATCTTCTGCCATCCTGAAGCTTATTCACAGTTGATCATATTAGCAACACTCTTTGGGAACAACATGAAAGTTTCCAAATTGTTTGTATTTGTGTGGGTGTGTGGCTGTGTGTTCATGTGTGCATGTTGAGGACAGAGGAGAATGCTGGGTGTCATAGTCTCTCATCTTCTTCCTCGGTCCCTTGAGATAGGGTTTCTCAATGAACCAGGAACCTGGCTGGAAGACAGAAGCTGGTCCCATGAATCCTCCATCTCCTGTGTTTATAGGCATTCTCAGACACACTCTTATTGTGCAGCATGTGATTTTACCCACTGAATCATCTTCCTAGTCCCAAGCTGGTTATACTTTTATACTGATATTTTGAGAATTCAGACGATGTGAGATATTAATATGTTTTAATGCTAATATATAATTGATACTTTTCAGGGACAAGATGGGAGATTGAAAAAATAATTGGAACTGTTTGGAATGTGGTAATGAAGTAGTTCCTGTAACTGCAAAAACATGTGTACATTTGCCTCTCTCTAGTTTAAGTTACCTGCCATCAACCATACTTTGAAAATAGTAAATGGAAAACTCCCAATTAATGAGTTTTAAAGTGTACATTATTCTGAGTAGTGTAATAAACTGCCCATCATTCTGTGAATCAATCCTTTATTCAAAAACCACATACTATGTACCCATTAGGTACTAAGTAGCTATCCCAGTTAGCACATGCACTGTTGTGACTACTGTCACAAGTGAAGAGATGATAGCAACTCAGTTATGAAACAGAGAAGCTGTGAAATGCTTGCTTTAAGTTAAAAGATGAAATTTCTCAACTGCATCAAAGATAAGTACATGTAGGAAAAAAATAGTATATAGAATATTCTGTACTACCTGTGGCCTCAGGCACCTACTGTGGGATTTGGGATAAATCTCCTTCTGAAACAAATAAGAGGAGAGGAACTACCTTTGTCTAATGGGAAGGGCAGACAGATTGG